GAAGACTTCTGTTACATAATAATTTAAAAACAGTATCTCCATGGGCACACATGTTCTTGCCATGCCGACATTCATTCTCGCATCCTGATTTTTTCAACATTTGAAACGTTTTAAGAGTTTGATAGTTTTATATTGTTCAGAATTTTCGTAGCGTCTTTCACTTTCGCCCAGCTGAAATAACGATGGTTAAGTTCCCAACCTGACATCAATACTGCAATAACTTCCTGCTCACAGGTGTTGCTCTATCTGCAGATTGTAAATCCACAGACTCGCTTTACCAATTTGCAGGTGTTTAATAAGAAGGTGCATTCTCGTGGAATTAAATTACTCCTAATAAATATTAAATTCTGTATCCGCTTTATATACATTCACGTCTTTACAAAACTCTGTGCAACTATTGTCTGACAGGCCAACCTCTCTGTGCAGGAGGAAATGATTTTGCTCTGTGTGCGTTTCCAAACATGACTTGTAAATCTGGGAGTTCTCGCAATGAATACAGACCTAACTCTCGAATCATATACGAAAGGGTGGCGTCATCAACGAGGTCAAGACAGTCAAAAAAACTTGATGAGTTTGCGTGGGCTCTCGAATGTAGTACGTTCGTAGGTGGGAAACTATAATCTCCGAGTTGGCTTAGTTGCCTCATCGTATTCCAATCACGAAGTCGATTGTCCGTGATCCCGTTGGGTCTGTAGCCAGGAAGTGCACTTGTTTCCATCTTTTCTATGCTGATTTTTATCTCGATGTTTTCGATCTATAAATATGAGATAAGTTCATAATTGAGCTAAATACTTCAAGATTGGTTGAACAACATAGATCACCTTGGTCACGTATTGATAGACATTACATATTCAAGCGCTTTGGTATCTTTTAATCAGCTTGGAGTAAGACCTAGAAACGCCTGGTGAAGGCCAATAGAATTGCCAAGATCGCTTTTATAGCTTTTGCTTTTAGGCTCTTTGTCTTCGACCGAGCCAAAACACAGCTGTTGGGTTAGTGCAAGGCTCTTTATGTTGGACTGTTGTTGACTAATGAAAGCGAAGATTTAACTGATGTGTCTAACATGTTAGTTGCAACTAAACAACCACATCAGAGACATGTGGTGCGCTGTTGTATACAATCTGAATCAGCAACTCTGATTGAATAACTGGTGGATTAATCCACAGGATATAGTGTCCATTGAATATCTAGGACTCTAAGAGATCGTGACTATGTCTATATGTACATGTATAACATGGGTATATACCAGGACTGCATTGCTAACAAAATTCGGTAATTGTGATCTGTGAAGGATCCCAGGTTTCTGGCTCACTTTCGGCTTGATCAATTGCCATACAACTGTGCTCGGTAGTACTAACAACCCAAGCTACAACACCGTTAATAACTAGCAACTGAAGATGGCTTACCTTTGGGGCTTCCTTATTAGACAATCTCGTGAAGAAAATCAAGTCTTCCTCTCAGGATTAGGAGATAAAGTATTTATTTTCCTTGTAAACACAGTCGTATCGTCTTCCTACTGCGCTTGTGTATTTTCAACTGACCTTACTCGTTTGTATGTATCTGTTTTTATCTTGATCACGGAAAAGTGCGACGTAATCGTGTCTTTTGTCAGGATCAGCCAATAGAATGGCGAGTTTTGGGATGACATCATTATAATTTGTGTGATCTACGTCTTTCTGTTTACGCATACCGTGGGTAGTCAGGGAGGAATGATGATGATTGTAGACGTAAATAAGGCGTGTTAAACCTAGACATGCACATCGCCGCTAAGCCTCTGTTATTAAGACATCTTCGTAACCATATACATGAATTACGTTTGGTTACGAACCTCTAATAGGGTCAGTCGAATGTGTGTAGTAAGCTAACATATTTCCGTGTTTGGAATGCTTCGTTACACAATGCTCTCGAGCATTTTCAAAAATAGGAAAAACTGGAATTTGCGGTCAAATTTGATCATCGTCTGTGCGTGGTTCGCTCTCACGCTCTCACCAGAAACAGAGACTCTCATCATCTCTGAAACAGGCTTCATCGAGTAGCGTAGGAATCGAGCTTTCATTCTTCGAGTTACTCAACTCAAATTTGTAGTGTCACATCACATGCATGCAAACATGCAGAGAAGATGGTGCGTCTACCTCCCCTCTGAAGTGACTAAATTATGTTTCTTTTATAAAGATGAAGTTATTCAATAATAATGTTGCCATTCGTTACATCTCATATACCGCTCGTTCTGATCCAAAGCCGGGATTCAGGTTTCTTTTGGTTATTCACTTCATCCTGACTTTCAGCTGGGGACACGGAAGAAGTGTCAAGAAATGATAGAGATATCTCTGCATGGTGTATCGAAAGTCATGTTTACATGTTATTGCATGCAATATAGGCTATATAGTTACATCCAGCTGCTTGAAGCGATGTTTATATTGTTATTCAAATTTCCGCATGTCATTTGTACCACACTACGCATATTGCATCAGGTGATATGTGGGCTCACCCCAAGAGAAATTTTCGGGAAAATACGAAACCTCACGAGTTCAATGTTTTGTGGAAAGAATGCTTGATGTTATCATTGTTTAGACCTAGACTTATCCAAACATATTCACTCGATACTGTAAGATTAGTATTGCATGTTTGTTGCAGTGACTTCTAAAATAAAGACTTCTTTTATTATCATTCCTTGACCTTATCGTTTAAAATCCAAAGATGTTTGTTAAAACTATGACATATTTCCTTAAATCTGATCTATAATGGATGAAAAATGAATCCGAAAGAACTATTTGTTTTATGAGTTTGTTTTAGTAACAGATTATTTTCTTTCCGGCAATTTTCGTTGTAAGCATTACTGGGTTGCAATTTTCTTTAAATCTAAAACCATTGTTGTACTTTTGTAATGGGCTCATGTGACGGGCTCTCAGCTGTGTGTGTGTGCTTTTTAATTTAACTAAAGCAACAGATACGCAAGTTTACTTTGAGATCAAGTTTACTTTGAAATTGAAAAATAAACTTCCTGATCGCTAAACCTTCTTTGTCAATGAAAAAAATGTACATTTTTCTTGCAATAATTGGCCTATTAGCTCAGTAGTCCATTCTAAGATGAGGGGAACTTCTAAACATCTAATATCAAAGCTTTGCATTCGGAAATTACAGGGCATTTCTTCAAAGTTACTTCCCATGCAAAACTCTAAATATATACCAAAATTTTCTCCCAAAAGAATCACTCGAGTTAGACCGGTGTTCGTACGTAATTCCTGCAAGCATTTCTTTTTTGACCAGGAAAAATCTTAACAGATGCTGCACCTTTTCTGTGTCATTACAAGGCGAGCAATGACGAAGAGGTTTGGCTTCTTGCGTCAAGAACTATAAATAATATGTTTTGTATTCGTATGGAAGACTTTCCTGTGGACGGAAGTTGTTTAAGTAACACGAGAGTTAAATGGAGTTAAACGAAGCAGTATAAGGTCAAAGAGAAATTGTAAACTGCAGTATTTGGCATCTTTGATTTCTAAACAAGGTCTGTTTTGACCGATAAAGCTAGGTATAGATTCATTACACAAATCAGGAAATGCATAGCGGAGAAGTTGTGAGCGACGATCTAGACTTGCCAAAATCGACCTTCTCTCCTGTTCAAGTACGAAACTTGATGCTTTTTTTGCGTAGAAACTAGAACGAGAAAGCAAATTGCTTCCTTAGCTGCGTCCAGCATCACTTGTTGTTTTTGACAAAACTTGAGTTGATCGCCTCAATTGCTTGAACGTAAAGACATATGAATACTTAATTAGGATGGCCTAAGTTTGCTAATTCGTATGAAAGAACACAATTTGAGACGAAAATTGAAATCCCACGCATTTATGGGATGACGAAGTTTCCTGTCTCAAGCTTAAAAACAACCAAGGCAGGATTTTAGAACATGCCTTTGTACACCAACGCACTTAAGGCAAGAAAGGTATTCTTTTACTTTCATCTCCAGCTATTAGCGAAACGTGCAAGAAACCTTTTAACCGGTGTATTTGTCGTGGGCTTCTGTAGTCAAAATTGGCAAAGTGGGGAACTGAAGGGTGCCGTACACGGGAATTCTATCCTACGCACTCGTAGGATGGACGTTTCCTGCTGTGGATTAAACGAATCAAGTTGAGATTAAGGGGGTCATAAGAGAGATACGTGCACTAACTGAGCGCGTGCGAAGAAACACACCCTCGGCACAGGACTGCGGTGAGACGACGTTTAGGCCCTCCTCCTCAGTCTTCTCCTTTCTAAACGTAAAAGTAAACATGTCGTTCTATGTTCTATTTTTTTCCGTTTACCCCATATGATGACTTTGTCACTTTGACAAAGTTGTTTGCATAGACAAGAGTCACAAGACGCATTATCAATGATGACACAGAAGTCTACAGAAGCACTGAATTCCCATAATCGTGATTAAAAATCGTATTACAGTCGGATATCAAAAGACAGCATTTACACTCCATTCAGGAAACAGTAATTGCTCCAAACAATTGCAAGTATGAACGCTCGGAAGTTATGCAAGAATTTCGAACTTGCATACCAACCCACGTGCTGGTGGGATTTATAAAGTCAAAGAGGCGCTTCGTGATTATCGGGTGGAAACGCGAAGTTGCCAAGGAACAGATGAGATGTTTCTAGGAGAAAATTATCTGTCACGAATATGATATATCTGTCACAAAGAAGAAACATAATACAAGTCACTTTTGATTCCGTTTGATATCCTGTAGTCGAATTTTGATACTTCGCGGGGCACGAATCGAAAATGCACTTAATTGGCCGTAATTATAGATGATCATTGGTTAATTAATTGCTTATCACATATTAGAATTAAACGCTCTTTGCGTAGAAGAGAACATTCTGGAAGATTTGAGGAATGATTTCTTTTTTTAATCGTTGTCAGTATACGTGTTTTGCGGCTTGTATGGCTGGTTCTGGATGATTTTTTTAACTGAAAAATGGTCTTTCAAGTACACTTCAAAACAGCCATTGTTCAAATAATAATATACTTTATGTTTCTTGTCAATAGTTTCATAACATAACAAAGCTTATTTTATCATAAACATGAATAATATTTAACCATAGTAAAATGATTGTTTAGCAGCATTCAGTGCATAAAAGCACCAATAAACATTCATTAACAAATAATTAATATTTTAATCTAGATATAACTGTCTTAAGTTCTCTTATTTTCTTCCAATTTATTCTCGAGCTTGGTAACCAAAGCCTGCACAGTTTGTACACCTTCCTTTCGAGCCTTGCGGACAACATCAAGACCCTCCGAGTCAACAGTATCAAGGTCCAGCAGTATCTTCATCAGAGTTTCACTAATATAGAGATAGTTCTTATTTTGAACTGGGTCAATGAACTCAGCAATTTTCTGATCCATGCCTTCAGTTTTTTCAACAATTGATTTGATCCTTGAAATTTTTATGTCTGCAGGCGAGGGCGGATCGCATTGGCTCAGGCGCTTGGAAGGCCTTCTCTGAGTCTTCTTAGGTCTGCTGAATGTTATAGGTATTTCTGTGCTTTCACTGTTTCCTGATTCTGATGTTTGTGAAGAAGTTTCAGTTGTATTAGGGAGGCCTTCATTGTCAGAGCTGATGTTAGATTGTTGCTCCATATTCTGGTCTTCTTTCGTGGTTTTTTCGACTTCAGTTTTATTTTCTTCATTGCTACATTGTGTTCCAGATGGGATCTCTTCAGGTTTCTTCTCTCCTTGGTTTATTTTTTGCTGAGGTTGTACAGACTCAGCAGGTTTTGAGTTATCATTGATGTGCTGATGAATCTTGCCAGATTTTGGTTTGTGTTTGTGTTTATGTTTGTGGTGAACCTTGCCAGGTCTATCCACATATTGTACCGGTATATCCCAGCCGTCATAACCAAATTTACCTTTCATTCTTCTTTGTTCCTCATTGTCATAGATATCCTCCTGTTGTTCCCCCTCATCTTCAAATATGTGATCTCTGCCCGATCGCATTTTATTTTCCCGTTGTCTTTCACCGTAATTCGGACTGAAATGATGTTTTCTACGAGGATACTCGCTGGAAAACTCTGGTTCTACCCAATCTCCGAATACACTGGGCTCCCGTTTGCCTCTTCGATGATACCTCTCTTGTGGTCGGCGCATTTCACCCCAACCAAAAAACGGAAAGTCGTCGAAGGTAATAGGAATATCATAGCTCATGCTGAATCACGATTTCACTTCAAAATACTACGAAAATGTTGAAAACGAACTGAAATTCCACTATATAATCTTTCGCTTTTCAGTATTGACTCATTATGACAATGTAAAGGAAGGATCTAGAACCGTATACCATATTTGGCAAACCCTACTCTGATTGGTTAAATAAATCTGTTCTTCGAATCCTATTGGCTCCTGTAGAGTTCTAAAAATAGATTTTCCCCATTTCTTGTCGTTCATCTTCGATTTCGACTCCCATGACATTTAAATGACATTTTTGTTGTAATATAAAAGCGAAGATTTCGATATTGAGCGAAAAATATTGAAGTGTGAACCACGGAAACATTATCAGTTTGTTAGTTTGAGAAACCATGGGTAAAGATTATTATAAAATACTTGGGGTTTCACGCAGTGCAACGGATGATGATATTAAGAAAGGGTACAGGAAAATGGCATTAAAATATCATCCAGACAAAAATAAGGACCCTGGTGCAGAAGATAAGTTCAAAGAAGTAGCCGAGGCCTTTGAAGTGTTAAAGGATAAGGACAAACGAGCTGTGTACGACAAGTATGGAGAAGAAGGATTAAAAGGACAGCCAAATTTTGGAGCTACTGGTGGGCAAGGCATGCCAGCTGGTTTTACTTCGTTCACATTTAGTGGAGATCCATTTCGGACATTTAATGACTTTTTTGGAGATGAAGATCCGTTTGCAGGTATGTTTCAACGCTAGTTCAAACATTTTATCGATATACTTCCGTTTTTTTTATTTTCAATACATGAATAATACAATGAGATATAGCTAGGTAATGATTCTTAGAATTGTCTCACCATTACAGGAATTGTATGCTACTATTTGCATGGTAAACTAATACTACATTTATGGCATGGTAACTACCTTTGTATTGTAAACTAATATAGTGAACCATACAGTTACAGCTAGTACATATGCCTGCATGCTTTGGTGAAATGTATTTCAAAGTATTAACTTCAGTTTTCTCGTAATTTAGACTTTTTCAAAAGTAGTGGATTTGGTTCGCATGCTTTTGGAGGTGTTGCTAGTCCAAGTATGTCTCCTTTTTCAAATTTTGGTAATCTTGGTATGTTTGGACATTCACACTCTGCAGAAAATCTTCCTTCACGGTCGGCAAAGGACCCACCAATCTACAGAGATCTTCCTATCAGCTTAGAGGACTTATTAAATGGTACAACAAAGAAAATGAAAATAACAAGGAATGTCACTGATGGAGGAATGACATTCGAGGAAGAGAAGGTGCTAACGGTAAATATCAAGAAAGGTTGGAAGGCTGGAACTAAAATAACATTTGCTGAGGAAGGTGACCAGAGACCTGGTACAACTCCTGCTGATATTATTTTTGTGATAAAAGACAAACCTCATGAACAGTTTAAACGAGATTCAGACAATAACATATTGTACACATGCAGGATATCCTTGAAAGATGCCCTTACAGGGGCCACTGTTCAAATACCGACATTAGAAGGCAAGACGGAGAGGATGCAGTTGACATCTGTAGTTCAACCTGGGTCTACAAAAGTAATTGCCGGCAAAGGACTACCAATGCCGAAATCACCCAACCGCCGTGGTGACCTCATAGTGACATTTGAAGTTCATATTCCTGATAATTTATCTCAGAAGGACCGAGAAAAATTAGGAAAAATGTTGCCGTGAATTTGTTTTTTTTCTAACATCTTAACCACAGTGTGTTACAATGTGTGTGTTCAATACAATGTTAAAGAAAATTATTTTTTAGCATTTGTAATCTATTTTCTTTGTATATAGCAGCTATATTAAGCATATATTTTAGGCTATGACATTTAGGATGTTGTAAAATGTTTTCAAATTTACACCAGCTGGTATAGAGTGGTGCAATATTAAAGAAATATTCTCAATTGAAATGTGTTGCTCTTTACAGTGTTTTTCACATGACTTTGAATACCGCAGTGGATGCATATTATGCTAATAAAGTCAATTTTGTAACTTGCATGTGGTGAAGTCATCTTCCACCTACGTCGTCCCTGCAAACCAATATACTGCTCATGAAGCCTATTTTACTACAGCCAATTAAAGATTAAAATGCTTGAAATGACTAGTTATTTGGTTGTGTGACTAGTGTTATTAGGTTGAACCACTGTCTTCTGCAGGCTAGCTAGAAACAAATGTTCACCGTTCTTTATGCTGAAAAGCTTGAAGCAGATTGTCACAAATCACGCGACATTCAATATAACCATTCAATATGATAATATTCCGACAATCTGACTTGCAATCACTTTTGCAATCTTTATTCCCTTAAACATATTTACATTATTACAAGCATTTACAAACAAAAGCATTTCAAAACAACTAAACTCTCAAGGATTAAATGCAATTGACACGCCCCAGCCGTTTTTTACCATGAGACTTTAACAAACGTTCATAATTTGCTAAGTACCATCTTAGATGTCCAATCTTTTTGTTATTTATAGAAACGTGTTCAATGTTAGAGAAAGTCAACCTTGTCATGGACGATTGATAAATTAAAGGTAAAAATTTTACATTTGGTAACAATATCACTCATGAAGGATAACCAATCAATTCGGTATTTTTGTTGGGTATTTTTGTCCCATTTATTTTGACACACGAGAGACATCCAAGAGTCTTGACCAACTTTAGCTGTTTTTACATCCGTGCTGAGTTATATGGTGATCCTAAAAATTGATCAGCAATTCTTCCAGCTTCTCTAAGACCACTGAGTAACGCACCGTGGACCGTTGCAGGGTAGTTTCTAATAGTATGTTCTCCTGCAAAGAATACTCTTGGTTGAGATGGGCCCCCACTGCCTTGAACCGGTGCGGAATTTGCGACTGGTGATGCCATAAGATCATAATCGTTGCCAGAGGAACCCGCAGCAACGTAAGAATAAGACCCACGAGACCACTCGTCTGATTTCCATCGTGTTACCACCGTCTCTCTGGGCTGCAAAAGAAGGAGTGGAACGGTTGATTAGGGATAATGATGGTAACATATTCTTGGGTTACCATGTGATGGCACAGACTAAAGTACTTGTCAACTCGAAATAGAGACTTGGTATTACATCGGAGTGAGTTAGTTCTTCACTGTGTATGTTCTGGCTTTGTGCGAAGTTGCAGATATATCTTCTTTCGTATGACTTGTTGACCTCTTGCTGCATAATCGTCGAAACATTTCAGGCTAACCACCACTCAATCATTGATTGAAATGCTTAATAATATCCAAACGTTGACCTAGTCACCTACTACTACGGTGAACCCAACTACACCTGATTAGCAATATCTTTGCTAGCAGCGATTATCTTCAGACGAGTGAAAGCATCTGGTGAAAGACGCAGTAAAACACTAGACACAAACACTTCATATCAGATATCGTATCAGCTGAGTTTGATCAGTTGGATTAGCGTCCACGCGTGACTGAGATCAGATTGCAAACATGTGCATGTTCGGTGGAGAGTCGAAAGTTTTGCTTCACTCACCTGAGGAACATTCCCACTGCCAAATATTCCTTTCAGGACAGCGACACATCGTCCGACAATGATTTCATCTGCAACAGCTTCGAGTTCGTTTGCAGCTTTACCAGCGACCAGAGCGATCAGTATTGGAGTCTTGTAGAGATTCCAGAAAAGAAACAGCTCGCCGCGTTTAGCCGTGGTGCTGCCGACATGACCGAATAAGTTGGTGGAACGATCCCAAAACACATGATCAAAACAGAGGACAACCTAGAATGAATGGTAATGGATGGTTAGGTTGAAGAAGATTTAGTATGGTATGGTATGGTATGGTATGGTATGTATGGTATGGTATGGTATGGTATGGGTATGGTATGGTATGGTATGGTATGTGGTGTGGTATGGTGAAACCCTGTAGGGTCATAGTTGGTATGAAACAAAACAGGTCACGCCTGCTAAGGTGTATCATGTATTCAACTTACTTTGTTCAAGTTACCAAATCCCATCCTGTCAATAGCTTTAGTTTTCCATTCTGGTAAAGGTGGATGAAACTGAACGGTCTCTGGCATCGCTCTCAAAACCCCGAGAGGAAGAGTTATCAAGACAACGTCCCCTTTGAAACTTTGTGTGGTGCTGATCGCTGCTTTTGTTGTGCTTTGCGTGATGATTTCCACACCTGAAAGAGAACAAACTGATGGTTTAACTCTTGTAGCAGGAAAGAGCAAGGATCATGAAGATCTTTACCAACCTTGGCGATTGTAGCGGACCTGTCTGACCGCGGTATTCAGGCGGATGTCAAGGTCTTCAGCGAGAGCTGCGGGCAGGCAGGCATAACCATTTTGTACGGTCACATGACTGCCACTGAACTCAAAATCATCATCCTGATCCCAATGCTTTAACGATAGTTGTTCCAACGGAACAGCATTGGCGAACTCGAGGTTAGCAAAATGCCAGTCGAGAATTTGACGATCCCTTGAGGATAGATACACGTCGCTAGGATTTTAGGAGATGAAACAAAATGAATTATATTTTCTTTAAATTCTCTCTTCGTACACTCATGCTACTTTACCTTCACGCTACCGGTACTCTATGCTAGGAGGAAGATTGTGCCATACCTTGGTGGGTTATCCTCGAGTTCAATCAACTTCTCTCCCAACTGATGTTGTTCCTCATCTAATGCATCGTACTCCTAATGGTTGAAAAACGATACAGAACCTTATCAACATCAATACTCAACCACCAAAGGACAGTTTCTTCAATCAAGTTTCTTCTCTTCTATTCGTACCTTGCACAAGTAGCAAATATCTCGTAGTTTACTTCGTACTTCAAACTCCGCCTCTGCTTCTCTGGAATACAAATATTTTAAGGTGAACACAATTCCCAAACTTTTGTCACTTCTTTAGATCATCATTCCAGTGGATTGATGTAGAATACATACACCTTACATATACTAGCTCACCTTGGCTCAGGAATTTTCTCAGCTTCTTGATATTCCTGATGCATCACAGTCAGTTTCTCTTTGACTTGTTTCATCTGTGATAAAATATACCATAATAGATGGATTACAGATTGTATGGTCATGTACATAACCTGCATTAAAAACTTTCATACCTGAGCAAGAACTAACTTCATTTTCTCTTGAACTTCCAGAATTTTCTTACAATGTACAATCTGCTGTTCCTTGACTTGTTTTTCTTGCAATCTAATAAACATTATAAAATTAGTTGGATATTTGTTCATTCCTGGCATCTGGACAAATATAGACAACGGCTTACTTGATAACCATCTCCAGTGCTTGACCAAGGGTGAGTGGTTTACCATCAATCTGGTTGAAATCTAGCTGGTGTGTAATATACGATGTTGCTTCAAGTAATCTATTGAACTCCTGTTCAACCATATCATCCTTGTCTTTGGGAACCTGCAATGAGAAAGCAGGGTGAGAAAGCAGATTTCTCTCTTTGGCAGAAAATGGTCTCAATTGATCTGGAAGAAGTTAACTTAACAAAAATCTCTTTCATACACTTCTTCCATTAGTTTCAAAGAGTGGACATCTTTGATTGATTCTGTGTAGTTCCATGTTGACCTGACTACTCAAGACTGTGAGAGGATTACCACCTGTAAAGAGAAGTACAATTATCTCATACTCTTCTCATTATATCAAATAGGATTAGTAATGGTTGTACTAGGGTATTAGGGTACAGTAGTGGATTATGTTGATCACTTTGCTTACCTAATCCAGTTAGAACCATGGCACCAAGGTCAGCAATATACTGCCCCTTTCGAAATGTTGCAACTCTACCACCAACTCTTTCCTACAAAATTTAAATATAAGAAAACTTTAACCATTTACCAACAATGTGACTTTACTAAGCTCGACAGATCAGACAAGTTGCGAAGAGATGTCGACAACCATTACTCCACCTACCCTAGACTCAATCATTGTAACATTAAAACCAAATGACTGCAGTTGTCTTGCTGCAGTTAGCCCAGATATCCCAGCACCAATGACTATTATCTTTGGTGAATTGGTTACTGAAAGATGAAAGATGTTGATGTCAAGGCATAAGCTCAAACATATCACAAATGGCATCATGCTGTAGATGTGATCTTTGATTCGAACAACTTGTACAACTTACATTTTGGCACGATTTTCAACTGCTTGTAAACACCAAAGTTTATTGAGCCATATCTCTCAAGAAACGCAAACACCCGATGGACAAGCTTGCTGTCAACTACATCAAAAATTGAGAAAATGGATAAATATTAGAAAAAGAAACAAATCTGCCATAAGGATCTCATCTGGCTATGAACTAGAGCATAGAGAAGATCCATGGGCAAATTCACAAAGGAATCACACACCATTTTGCTGGGGATCCATTTCCCGAATAGCGTGTTCAACGATCAACTGTTGTTTTGGATTCTCCAGCCAAAGTTGAAGCTAGATAGGAACAGAATTCTTTGTTAATTATCAGCAAAATCAGGTATTGATCAAGTGAAACAAAGCATATAAATACCAGTCTGTTTCGGACGTATAAGAATTGCCTCTGAAGTGGTGGTTGTCCATCTGAGATATCTCGAAAATAATTGGTTTCTTGTGTTGTCATTTTATCATACGGCAACCGACTTTGGAATGCAGCTCCTTCAAGACCTAAAACATATATATTCAAGGTGTAAATGATCGGGTTTTAGCTGAATGGTGGAAGCAGAGGGTAATGTTAGTTACCAGTTGGTAGATCATCATCATCTTCTTCTTCATCCTCGTCATTCTCTGGCGTTTCTTTCACAGATTGTCTTGAATTCTGTCTTTCTACAATCTCTACCCCATTGTTCTTCAAAATCTCTGTGTCTGATAACTCATCATCTGTTAACTTTGCTAACTTTTCATCCACTTCAGTGTACTCAACCTAAATTGATGTATTTCATTTTAACCAAAATGATGAACAATTCCAGAAATATTTGTAGTTACCTTTCCTAGGCTATGTAGGTATCTATACTGACATAATAATATATGGGTAATAGCTGATTAAAGTCTCTAAAAACACTATATTAAACTAAGCGAATAAATAGGCGATAACCGCGTTCCAAACTACGGCGCAATTCTAAATATCTATGCGAAAAATATGCAAGATTTTCAAAATATTTCGCTGACGAAATTACAAAATATTCTTACGGAATTTATACGATTTATCGCATGCATGAACTGAAATTCTAGGAAATCAATTACGAAATATATACGGGGAAAATATACCCCTTGATTATAATTCCCAAGGGGGAAAATATGTTACAAATTTGCTACAAATCCCAAGGGTAATAACAAATTCACGACATCTTTTGTACGGCCATGTTGAAATTATTCGCCTGCTAATCTCGCGTTGAAACATCGTCTGAAACTGCTCTCGCATGCACTAAAAACAATATAAAATACTTTTTTTAATCTTACGGGATTAATACTTCTCTTCATCTCTTGTTTTTCTGGATAGAGGTAAGATTTTCAGTCGTTATCATTTAAATTTGATGAAAATATGGCCATCCCCCCCTATTTTGCATGCATTTGCCATGTGCTCTGTAACAAAGACGCTTAAACTCTTCGACGTGTAAACAATAGGCGACATTTATATATTAATATCTTAAATTATTCTACAGAGCAAATATATTTAATACACACTCAAATTTTCTTTGCATGATTTTTACTAACTTGGAAATATGAATTGTACGCCTCACTAATTTTGCATGTCAAAATCATAAATTTCAAAATGTACATTGCTCGACAATAGGTCAGTGTCCTCACTGTCCTATGAAAGTTTCCGGCATATTATCCATCATATTACATCAATATCTTGGTAGAACTTTCCAAAATATTCAAACATTAACCATTTAAACAGGTTATTCACGTTTAGAAAAACCCCTTGGGATCATAATATTCACGCTTCCCGCAAAAATTTCCCGCTAACTTAGCATACAGCATTTTGTTTATATTTCATAAGGAAATCATAAAGTTGCCTGAAGATAGTGCAAATGGTGAAAATTGATGTAGTATTGAATACATTTTTGCTTTCATTTTTGCATTGAATACCATCTACGGTAGTTTCCAGAAAAAATGTAAATTCTGTTCCGGCAATATGCTCTACATAACCTTCACTGTCAAATATTAACATACGTGATAAACCCTGGACTTTAAAAGTCCAATTTTTAGCGGCTCGTTTTGTACTAGACCTACTTTTGCCCGTTTTCGCTGACTCGTTCTTCGGTTCAGTTCGCTCATTAAATGCTTCTGTCCTTTGTTTGTGTTTGAGTATTCGTAGTTGGAAACTGTCGAGGTGAAATCTATCATGGCTGCGTCCTTGTTATGTGGTGCTGTGCCCTCTTCAACAAATTTGCTTTTATTGCCTTTCGCATGATCGGGAGTTGCGGAAGAATTTGACATTATTTAATCCGAAGGCTCTCCGAAGCGATTGAGCGAGGTTTGAACGACACTAGTTTTAACAAGTTTCGATGGTTATAACAAATTTTCCAGCCAAATTGTGTTTTTTGAATTTCTGTCTTCCAGTTCGCGATAGGCAAACATGAACGCAGCAACTGCCAGGTGGTCCAACAAACAATTAATTTACCACTCATGTGACCACATTCAACCAATCACAGCGCCCTGCTATTGTTTAGAAGAACACCACTAATTAATTATTCACTATAGTAACACGACGTTATTAGATTGCTTACATATATATATATATTGTCCATGTACTGACTTTACTAACCCGTTTTATTCTCTATAAACCACTCTGATTGTATTCTTTGTTCCATTACTCATAGGAAATATGAATATAAATGACATATAAATGGACCTATCCAGTTAATGTCATCTATAAATATCAACAGTAACTTGACACTATATCCTCGGTGTCAGCTGGTAGTTTGTTTGCCATATTGAGGATGACTCAGTGAAAATGAAACACTATGTTATATTGTTATTGATATGGTATTAGGTATGGAGTACTTTCAACATCTAAGAATAAATGGGTGAGAAACTTATTTCCTCAACTACGAACTAAATTCGAAAGAGTATTATATATTTAAATATTTGGCTCGACGCCAAGGCAGATCCTTATCGAAATCACTGACCATTGTGTAGTCAAGTCTGGGAAAATGCAAAGAAACTAAGAATGCATATTTCTAATAAGTTATCCAGTTTCACTTTTGCGAAAGGCTGTTATCTCACCAGATGATTTATGACTATACGGCTAGCCCATTTGGTTAACCCGAAGTATTGAAATATGTCTGTAACGAGAACTAGCTATAGTAAGCTTATCCATGTTGGCAATAGACCAATTTTCAAACGGTTTTCAAGCCATATTTTCAATAGTGTTTTCTTCTTCTCAGTCCGAGAGAGGGAGATTACGAAAATTTGTAAGAACACTGATTTTGTTTTTTTGGTATAAATCATACCATATGTATGTCGAAATCTTGTAATTGTATAACAAAGTCACAAAGACCAATGATGACAGACTCATTGAGTAATGTGAATATCACCATAGAGTCAAACAACTAGTCAAGAGATTTTACGGTTATTTGATTCAGGCTACTTATACAAGAAGTGATCACGTCCGCCTTAATCAAAGAGCAAATGGTATTGTTTTTAATAACTCATCCGTGATAAACCCTACGAAAAGGGTTCATTTTAAACATTGCTATTAGCTTGTTAAGCGAAAATACAATCCACACTTAGGTTACCATTGGGTACAGTTGCAAACTTGCAGAGTTGATAGAGGAGGGCCAAGAGTCATATCGTCATACTGTATACCTCACGTTACTTGAAGTCTCCCATATCACCGCTGGTGTAATCTTTGATCTTGAGCCGCGGAGACATTCATGAGACGGATATTTGCAAGTAAAAGTGGTTTGTTTTCATTGCAAATTTCACGATTATCACTTTTGCTAGGCAACTAAAATGACTAGAGAGAATGAAGAGGGATAGAACTTACGTCACGTTGTAATTCTAAATCAAATTCGCTATGGAATCGTAAGTGATAATGATTTTAAATATCTTTATGCAGATTAGCTATGATTGCTGACGCCTTCTTCATTCGACAAAGATCAACCCAGAAATTGGTCTGATTAACAAAGGATTTTCCATATTTTAAGCTCAAAAAGTCATGTTTTCTCGTAGATCTATAAAGATGAAGTTGTATTCTCTTACCAAGAGGCAATTTGTGTTGGTTTTTGTTGTATTTTTTACGTGCATAGCAGCCTGTGCTATCATCGGTTTGGCTGGTAAGTGTGGACATTAAAATCATGCAAAGAACGGTTTAAAACGCCCTCGAGGCTGTTGTTTTTCCTGTACATAAAGATCTTTTTTATAATTGTGTTTGATGTAATAATATCTTGATATCATTTAGGGTTTTTTCTGCTGGGTTATAATATGAATATCAGTTATTGAATGTTGCTGTTATTAATTAATACCGGATTAATAATTAAATATGTTTCCCCGTGTGTGATATCTGTAGCATTTATATAAGAACTAGAAAATTGGAGACAGTCTTAAACCAAGCATGAAAGTATTATGTAACAGCTTGCATCATTGCTTTTGAAGCTTTTTTTGTAATGAAATAAGGGTCTGTATTCATTGCTGTATTCATTCTTGTATATTGTACAAATTGCATATATTGTTTTGACATAAATATAATAAAAATCAGGTATCACTTTCTATAAATATGCAGGGAATTATCTAATGACTCAAACCCGATATTATCCAGCGAATAAAAATGTCAACGCTTAAACCTCTGACCCCATGCATGATTTCAGAACTGCGACCTGAATTATCTGAGGACTTTGTACCTAAAATAAATTTTCATTTTAGGTCCTTCTGTTATCACTTCTAATGTTCAATCAATGAAGTCTGTTCTTCCTTTAAATCAAAGCTTATCTGTGAGTTTATTTCTACAAGTGCTATTGCAGTTTGGTCTTAACTATTAGTAAACTTATCCTGGTTTAAATTGCATGACATATTTTGGTTTTAGAGTACTGTATTCAAGATTGACTCAGGTTCTTTGTCAACATTCAGTCAACAGCTGTGGTTAACATGTTTGATCAAGCTGAATGGTGTTAAAGAAGGTAAGTGAAGACATAAATCCTTCAGAGTAGAGGTTTGTGAAGGAGCCAGATTGCAAGTATGATTCCTTCCATTAGACCCCATCATATTGCTTTTTTCACAACTTTTCTTGGTTCAGAGATCTAGAGAATGCATTTAAATCAAACTGTTGAAAATAGATGTAAAGTATGTTTTATGAATATTTTCTGCTCATGATAATGATGATAATCGAAGCAAGAAGCTCCAATAGGAGCACCTCGGCCTTAAGTGTGAATCATCTTTAAACATTTTCTCTTTAAACTACCCACATTTCTACATATATCTTTGGAGAATGCAATAAAAATTGCTTTGTGAACATATAGCTTACAAATCTTTAAACTTTTACTAATATAGAAGTTACGTTTAAATACAAGTTTCATATAAATGTCAAGATCTTGTATGAGGCTTCAGACAACAGTCATAAACCATTATCACCACATTTCTTCAACCACACAAGGGAAACCGTTTGCAGTTATTTGGTAAGCTTCAACTAAATAAACTCAATTCACATGTACAAATACAACATTCTACGGCCCATTGCTACATATTGAAGAAATAGCTAAGTCACAGAATATGTGTAATTCTAGATCAGTGTACTAAAGATTGTTTCTGTCCTTATTGAAGTTTTATTTTCACTTCTATTTCTAACACAGGGTTGCGATGAGTTTGTTGTCTTCCATCTTGGATATTTGGATTATCATTCTTACTTAGCTATTGTCTCTCTGAGCAATCTTGATTTCTTACCCAAAGGAGTAACATTGGATGATGTTGTTTTCACAGTAAGATGAGATTTGCCATTCTTTTCTCTACCAAAAATTTGGGGTAGTTTGGTACTAAATTTGTGTATTCTTTGCTTCCAGTTCAGTCACTACAGTGTGAGCTTCAGTGAGGTTGAAATATGGTTTCGATTTGTATTTGTTGTCCTGACATTTATGGTGTCTGTAAGTAAATAACCTGTTATCGTTCATTGGCAATGTCCTCTTTGAGATTGTTGCTTTAGTTTCCATGCATGTTCAAGATGTTCATCGAATATTGTGAATTCTCTTCTAATATTCCTCCCAGATTAGCTTGTTCCTATGAAGCATGGTAGTCAAGTTATGTACACCCATTGATAGCCCAACTCTTCGTTAAAAATTAGGATGACTTACCAGCCTCTGACGAACAACTCTACAACGAAAACTAAAATCCAACGAAATCTTCTTTCTTCAGTGTATCTACGCAAATTCATTGAGAAGATTCCCGTTCCGTGACTGGTCCATAGAGCAGAGGTAAAAAGGGCAGAGTTAAGGGTCATTTTCTACTTCAACCATATCATCGTGAAACGTATCGTATTCCTTTGTTTTAAAGTCATTAGTTCTACGAAACAATGGTATATGCGCTATGCTTCCCTCTTATACGGTTGAAGTGGAAAACAGGCCTAATGTTAGTGTTTGGAAAAAATTTTTTAGTGATTATTATAGTCGTTAATCATTTTTCATATCATGGTAATGTGTTACCCTGTAACAATATGAATGTTGAACTGCAAACAACTCAAGAAAGCACGCTGTTCAAATGCACGTCGCACGCAAGCAACACTTGATTTACATGAGGGGAATCACGTGAACATCATTTTACAGAAATGTGTCTTTTTTTACTTCAGGTGGATGTCTGTTTTGCTTCCAATGTTGTTGCTCTTCAACGGTAAAATCCGACGATAATTATAGTTCTTTTAAATAGTTTAAAAATCAAAATTGGTACAAATACGAACTGAGCGACCCCCTTAACATAATATTTTGTCTTCGTTTCTTTCAGATCCAATATTTCCGTTACATTTTCTGGTGAAATCGTGGGTCCCAGGGATGTTTGAGTCGATGTTCCGTGCGCTCTTCCTGGCCGCCATATTGTTGTTTTGGTTGTGTGCGTTTCATGGTATTCGCGTCAGTGAAAGACATTTATTCGGCTTCTACATGCCAAAGATTCTGTTGGTTGGCCTCGTTGGAATATCAGCGTTCACCCTCACGACCTGGCAACAGTACGTGCAGCCATCAAACTGTCTTGTGTATCATCGATTTAGCGCATGTATAATTTCATCATTCTCTAAAGGGCTGTTTACATACATAAGCCCGGTTGCCCAGACACGATTTTGAGGTATTGAAATAAGTCTTCATGACACCAAACAAGCAGATTCTATTGTTGGGATGATTACATCACTCCCAGAATCATGTTTTATACTCATTTCAATACCTCAAAGTCATCTCAAGCTTCGTTGAATCTCGGCTAACAGCCCCTAATGCTCTATCAAATTGCTTTGTAGATACAACGAGCTTCGTGATCCAGCTTACCAATCTAAACTTGATATATCAAACTTCACGGTAATGCCTCTAATCAGTTTAACGATAGCTCCATACAAAATCACGGGTGGGAGGAACTATACTTATAATCTCTCGAAATCAAACTGAAAGAACACAGTATCTCACCTGTTTCCTGACCTAAATTTGAGAATGTACATGTATGATTTCCTCTCGAAATTGATACTCTTTAGTGTTTGTGATAAATGCATGCTTTACGCAACCCCCGTGAGGAATAAATTCTTCATTCAATTGTATGCATGGTCCCGGCTCCACTTGAAACTGTTTTATATTTTGAATATTTCATTACAGGGTTTTAAGATATTTTTCTTCATCATCACCTCCATTTACCTTGTTTATTTGATATACCTGGTCGCCAAGGCTTACACTGAAATCAAAGGCTTGCCATATTTCGGTAAGATATTTTAGAAAACCTTTCACAAATGTTATCAACTTTTACAAGATTTACAATACCGATTTATCGTTTTAGATATTCGTCTAAAATTTTTGACCGCTCTAATGGTGGTCGTCGTGGTCGTGTCGTAAGTGCAATACATATAAATCACAAAGCAACTTTTTGTTCAAAATTGAACAAGAATTCTTCCCTAATGCATTCAATGATCTCCTGTTTCAGGTTTATATTCGTCATGTTGAGATATGGACGAACAGTTTTACAGAATAACTTCATTGCCGAACTCGAAACGACCTACAAAAACAATATCCTTTGTATTGAATTCTTTAGGTCCGTTTACACTTGCAATTTTCGCTGCGATTTTATTTGCGATGTTCTTCTTTTGATAGATGTGAACGAGTGAATTAGTTACTGAGGTTCTGCATAGGCAAGGTTACCTCCAAATCATTGGTTATAGAAATAGGATGAAATTTATTATTTTTTTTCCCTAACCTGTCTCACCAGCTGAGTTTCTCATGTTTTATGGACTATTAAATTTTTATCTCTACACGATGTCATTTGTCTATTCTCCTGCGAGAAATGCACTCTATGGTAGGTGTGCGTATGCGCGTGTTACCTTTGCGTGCGTGTCTTAGTGTACCATCATCCTTCATCATCCCTCTCAATCTAACTTAAAACACAGCCTCGTGACGCTACATCTTCATTCCTACAATCACCTCTCTTCCAGATTCTTTTTTCAAAGACAATCCATCAATGTCGATGATTAATGACTCTGACGAGGAAATCTACAGGTTGTTGTTTTTTGTTGTTTTTTTGTTTTTCTCACCTACCATTTCTAAGCTGTTCGCTTTGAAACAGTACGTCCCATTAATATACCAGCGTCTGTGTGTGTGATGGCTGCTTCTCAAGAGCTGCCTTCCTCATAACGTACATATAAACAGAAAGATAAATCTATATCCTGCAACCTTTTTCTAACTCTGAGACGACTTAAAGAGTAAACATTTATGGCTTGGCTGTTCCTCCTCAAATCTGACCCAATCGGGTTTTTCGTTTTAGAAAAAAGGTTAACAGCAGAACATCGCTGACAAGCGACGATTAAAATCACTAACCTGCTGTGAATTACATGTTGGGTTAACAATTGTGATAGGTCAGCGGTTGGTAAACCCACTGATCTGTAAATACACTGGATATATTGCAACCCCGTTAAAGCCTGGTTCTCATACTGCTAAATAGAATAAACTGCTTTGTTGTTTTGAATAATTTTTCTTCGTCATCGGGCACAAACAATACGTCGCCGACTGTCTTCGACATATGGGAACCAGGCTTAAGGGAACTCGGAGTTGTACGGGCTCAGTTTTGCGCAACGATCAAAGCCTTACGTTTTTCAGTTAAAGGAGGCACATCTGGTCGTCTTAATCTGTGCCTAAAACTCAGATAAACCATTGTCTGTTTCACCTGAATTTAATACAACCATCGTAGTTACTACAATCAAATTAAAATATGACTTAGACAGGTAAAAGAATGACGTAGACAGGTAAAAGAATGACGTAGACAGGTAAATTTAAAAAAGATATATAAAGTAGCATTTAAAATTAGATTATTTATAGAAATTTAAATGACATTAAATTATAGACGTAAAATCTAGTGCATCAAATCACTGTGATTATGACGAATGGAGTTGTATATTTATTTACATTGCAACTTTTAACGCGTGGGGACTTGTAAAGATGTAATTTTTCTTGTGAAGTTCCACACAACATTTAGGAATTGGGACAAAATAAAAATTGCAAAGCAAGGTTTGAACTAGTTACTTCTACAACAGTGCTTGAAATTAATAAGATTACTTACAAGTTTAGTATGTGTGCTATATACCGCAATACGATATGTTTTTACTGCCCAATGGGTCCAGTCTCCTCTTATAATAGCTCTATCCGTGTTGGCACTCCTCTTGTATCGGGTGACGGGGGGAGATTCCCACTCTTTTACTCAGATATCTATTCTCAGACCAACCTCTGCGAGCTTCTTCACGATCTTTGCAAGCATCGAGTTCTGCAGTTAATTTTCTGATGATTTCCTCAGCATCTTCCAGTTTACGTTTAAATTTCTCCTTTTCTTCGTTCAAATGTTCCCTGTCTTCTCTTTCCTTCTCAAAATCTTCCTTGTAAACGATCACTTGCGATTTCAAGATCTCACATTGCTCTTCCGAGAGACCACCGCCATTAGCCTGGTGCGTATACAAAGCTCCAGCTAATCTTGCTAGTTCTCTCTCCAAAGGTCCTTGGCGCTTTTCAAGTTCATTAATCCGTATCTTCAATTCTTTTTCCTCATCTTCCAGTAACCTCTTCCCCCCTTGAAGCATTTCAAATCTCATATGAATTTCCTCATAATCCTTCTTCGAGCCATGATTTATTTTAACCAAAGCCTCAAATTTCTCTTGATATCCTTTATCGTCCCCGGTCGTACCCGAGTGTTCACCGGTACAATTCGATTTGCTATTTCGCAGCGATGATTTAAGCTCCTCGTTTTCTTGCTTCGAATCAATAATCAATTTTGCCAATCGTTCGTTAACCTTTACTGAGGCATTCATTTTTATTTTCGTTTCTCATAGCAATTTGCAAATCTGTGTGTATTTTCTATTCGTCAGTTCCTTATTACGTTTATTTCCAAACCCTACAGAGTTCAAGTCGTTACTAATGCTCGTAACATCTCGCGTGCGGTGTATATATGCACTTTGGTTTCCCAATAATAAAATGACATCATTTGTCTAATTGCGTCGCGCTTCGAAAATTCCACATTTCGAGGATTCCGCGCGAGTGGAAATTCCGAAATGTGAGTGGTCACAACAATCAAGCAAGTAATCCAAATCATTTGCAATCCAAAACAAGTTTGGATAGCAAATGGAGCAAATGGATTTGGCCATGTTTTTTAATTTCCTGTACTGTTGCATTGGAGCAATAATCAATTTTGCCAATCGTTCGTTAACCTTTACTGAGGCATTCATTTTTATTTTTGTTTCTCATAGCAATTTGCAAATCTGTGTGTATTTTCTATTCGTCAGTTCCTTATTACGTTTATTTCCAAACCCTACAGAGTTCAAGTCGTTACTAATGCTCGTAACATCTCGCGTGCGGTGTATATATGCACTTTGGTTTCCCAATAATAAAATGACATCATTTGTCTAATTGCGTCGCGCTTCGAAAATTCCACATTTCGAGGATTCTGCGCGGGTGGAAATTCCGAAATGTGAGTGGTCACAACAATCAAGCAAGTAATCCAAATCATTTGCAATCCAAAACAAGTTTGGATAGCAAATGGATTTGGCCATGTTTTTTAATTTCCTGTAATTACCTACACTATTTTTTACCGCAACCAATAGGAAATATGCCTAGTAATATGAAGTAATGTCAGTTATGGCAGTAATATAGACGTGCTCTGTTTTGAGAGCTGCAGGAGAGGGAAGGGGGGCTAAAGCCCCCTAGCCCCCCGACTCCGCAGTCTCTGAGAACGCGAAAATGAAGAATCTCGTATAGTCGTGGTAGTCGAATGGCTCTTCGACTGAAAGAAAAATTTAGGTTTAGTTTGGGTCTTGTGTTTCTCATGTGATTTCACATCCCGGAGACAAGCTTGAACGTCGTAAGAATGCAGAATAATGAAATAAGAATCTGCTAAACGTTTCAACACAGGTACGGGTAAGAAAAAAAATGAAAGATTAATCAAACTAGGCCGCAGTATGCTGTAATAATGTACTTAATTTTCCAGTTGAATCATACTTGAATGTTTTGAGTAAATGAATCGGTATATCAAGATCAGTGACTAACCATGCACCCCCTCGCGCTCGCTTGTCTTTCGCACTGATCGCCTGACTGGGTACGATTTAAAATAAAAAGGTGCACAGTAAGATGTTTATGAAAATTTTGTTTACTGACCTAATGATTTTAAGCATAAATGTTAGTAATCTTTCTAGTACATGTAGTTAAATACATATCGTGCTATATACGACTACAAACTGTCAGTATATAGAATGATTTACAGTCTGTCTTGAGTCTGTCTTAAGTCTCTCTTGATCTACAAGTGACTCGTTGTCTGCAGTCAGTGCAATGATTTGGTTACTTATTGAACGAAACCACAAAGACTACGAACTCTCAGTAGAATGACTTACAGTCTGTCTCGAGTCAGTCTTGAGACTGTCTAGAACTACAGTCACTCGTCTCCAGTGATTTGGTTACTTATCATGAACGAAACCACAAATCAATGACTTACAGGATTTAGGCAATATATAACCAAAAATAGCAGTCTCAGTAGAAGTTCAAATTCGTGCTCTATAGACAAAAACCATTAGTGGAATGGTCAGTATATGCTACTTTTCTTTGCTTGTCTACAAAGACAAAGTCTACACTGGCTTTGCCAATTATATTCTGATATAATAAACAATAAAACCATAAATCAGCGCCTAGAATTTTCGCCATTTCCAGCATTTGGCGATCTGTAACACTTTTCTAATAAATAACTAAGGTTTATGAAAACAAGAGTGCAATGATCTATAGTGTCATACTCTCTCTTGTTTGTCTTTTTAATGACCATAAACCGCATGAAATCGCGTAAGAGCGACTGTCCGACTGAGAATATCGATAACATTCGGCTTTCTGATGGTGGCAAGTCAGTCATATCACTGAACCAACGTATTTGAGATGCGTCGGTTGAAAGCAGTCATTATATATAAATTACCCAGCGGGGGATTTCCGTTTTTTACGAAATATTTTTATCAAGAATATTCAAGGTCATTTTATAGCCCACATAGTAAGATCGTGTTTCTGCGTTGAAGCGCTGTTTCTGCTGTTCGTAATGAGCTGCCCACCTTCAGATCTCATTTCAGGAATTCAAACCGTCATTGATTGATGGACAGAAGGTCATGAACCCAGTCTCACTCAGACCACTTGATTTTCTTAGATGTCTGACAACAAGCATAAGAAAACAAATCAATGCCTGAATAAATCTATCTTTGGCCATCATTAAAATCTATCATGGGCTCTTCAAACTTATAGCATCAAATGTGGTATAACAACTGCCTAAAATAGACAAGAACACTGCTCGACTTTCCGACTTGAGGGCCTTCGTCAGGAGAGTTAGTAAGGTCATACTATAAACTCTCCTGTAAGATCATACTCTTCGTCACGAGAATCATACTAACTCTCCTGACGAAGGCCCTCAAGTCGAAACGTCGAGAAGTGTTCTCGTCTATTTTAGGCAGTTGTTATGCCACATTTGATGATAAGTTGTTTGAAGACGTTGCCACGCTGCTTCCTGGTTATATTTGAACAACTATATATGAATCTCTATTTCACATATGGGGGTCATTGAATAGGAATTTTTCCCCGCTGAAACTCTTATTCTTTTACCTCTAATTCTTCGTATGCATCGACTATATTTCTAAGTAAAGGCCATGTTACACCGTGCTATTTCTTGCAACTTGCAATGCAATTCTTCTTTTCAGAGATGTAAATTTGGCAATTACCAAACTTTTGTCTTTATTACACTCCATGGCGTTTCTTACAGTAACATTTTGAGAGCTCTTCACTAATTTACATGTCCTAAAAGTAGAATTCCATTGCAAGTTGCAAGAAAAATTGCACGGTGTAACCTGGCCTTTAGATTAAGCAGCGAGATTTAACTTGAATTGAAGATAATCATAATTCATAATAAATTCTATTTCCTCATTCCACCCTCTGCCTTTTCAGAATGCTTGAATTTCATCAGGAAACCGAAACTGATCCTTCATAAAAAAAGAGAGAGAAAGAGCGTGATATCAGCTAAACTGTAAGTCTAATAATTATATCTTTTTACAAAACCCTCAATAGATCTGCCATGAGCCTTTCGAAAGTCAGCCTTACGGTTATTATGTATTTATTTTTAAACATTAATTCAATCACGGTACTACAGAGTCTGCGGTTTGTGTGGGCTTTTTGGCAATCACCACCACCTATAAATCTATGAACATGCAGATGCACACTCCTTCGTTAGCTTTCGTTTATTTTTAACTAGTGTCATCTGCGTAGCTGTTTATAGTTGAGGTTAAAAGCAAAGCGGTAATTTTCAAAGACCTCTTTCACACGCCCACGAGTTACTGACAGCGGTTGCTAGGGGCTTGATACGACTACTTTGTTTATCAATCGAAGCGAGGTTTCGCACGTGGGCCATGTACAGGTAGTATAATTTTAGCTCATCACCAGGGAAACACGTTAGTTTACTACGAAAACACGGCTCTTAAATCTGACTGCTACTGCAAGGCTATCGTTAGGGTTTGGATACCAATGTTCAGAAAGCTTCAGCATCGACAATGGTACGACCACTATTTGCTCACGCCATCTGACGAAACACTTATTAGTTGTTGGGCTTTTGAATCGTATTCAAACAACTGAACGATCACGAGTTTTGCAGTGGTTTTGGCATGATAGCGTAAGCAAATAAGGCGTAAATTTGGCGAACTTGTACACGTAGTCATCGAGGGCTGGCTAGTCCCTAGTCCTCCTTAGCGCGCCTTGCATTCTTGTGATCGAGGGGAACCGAACGAAGGGCTGGGTCGAGCCGACGAGGGTATACGGAAATAGCTTAAAAAACGCGTAGAAGGCCGCACGGCGCTAGAATCTCTTAATTAAAGACACAAGTTTAAATATTGGCTTTGCCCTTACCTTTGCTATTTTTTTATCTCTTCATTTCTTTGTGTTAAATTTAAACTAGAATTACCTTATGAATTAACGAACTCTCTAGATGACTTTCGATACGACTCGTAGCCTCGTACGAGTGCTTTGTAACAAAGTCGGGAAGATTTTAACATACAATATGTGAATGATACAATATCAAACTTCCTCCACTGTCTACATTTCCTTACGCCAATTCATTTTGTAAATTTTCTACGACGACGGAAAGCGGAAGGTTCCTGGGAAGCGGAACCATTAAGAATTCCGTGAGGCAATATTTGAAATATTTCAAAATACTATTTTTAAGATGGAATTTTATGAATTATTTCTTTTGGAATTTTTTATCATCCATGAGTGCGTCCAATGTTTGGAGATATTTTGAACTCAGCTCGCTACAATTTATAGGAATATTTCTACTCAATTTTCAATTTCGATTCCTATGAATGATGCATGCCAGAATAAACAAGCTGAATCTCTCATCAGCATGCATTGATGCTTCATTTTCGTAATCGGGCACTACGTATTTTCAGTTTGAAAGCGCGCTATTTCCGTGTTGCTTTCGTATAGCTCGTATAGTCTTGACTGTAGAGAAAACAAAGAGATATTTGATGGCAAAGGACTTGCTACATTACTGACAAAGAGTCTTAGTTAAAACGTCGAAGTAGAAGATATATTTTATAAAGAATTAGTTTCCATATGTAGTGATGGATCAGATGTAGATAACAGCGAGAGATGATTTCTTCAAATCTTGCTATATTATCTCAAAGACACTATACCAACCTGCACTAACAAACCATTATCTCAGAGATATGGTCATGCGGTGGTTCTATTTGCATGAAATAAGAATATATGTTTCCTACAAGTGTGACTTATACCAGAACGTCACAACTCTGAAATTACGTCGCACAAAGGCCTGCATCGAAGGTTTTAAGAACTATATGCATGGCTAATGTTGACACAGTGTATGTAAACTGTACAGTTTGGTTAAGATTAGGACAAGTTCTTTTTATTTGCGGGAGGATCTGAAGGCCAAACCCTTTGTTGCACAACTTTGATTTTATACGTAACTTGAGAGATATGTTGAAATTCCCCGATATTTACAAAATCACAATGACCTGCTGAAATAAACCCACGCATGCAATTCATTCAACAATGGATTACACAGTATGTCAATAAACCAAGGGGGTTGCTGTGTGTTGCAATAATTGCGAAATAGTGCTGTCTCGTTTTTGGTGCCTCGTTTGAAGTGGTCTGATGTACAAATTACAATCATGCAATGTAATGTGGGCTTGGTTATAGGCAAACGTTTCGTAGAAAGAACTAAGAAGCATTATTTTTTATAAGCAATATTTTTTACACAGCACCGTGCTGTGCACAGCTGGTCAAAATCTGCATGAATTTCCTATAAATGGAAACTATATTCCATATTTAGGCCTTTGTATTTGGTAGACCCGCTATTGTTTACATCCTCTTTCTAGTTCAATATATCGTACAGCAAACCACAGTTACAAAACGTAGCTTGTCTTCTAGCGCTCTGGTTTTTCCCAGTCAACAGTTTCGATTGAGGTTGCAATACCGGGCCTCCCTGACGCTCTATGATTTTACACAAGGCTATTTTTGTTCTCCTTATTGCATATATATATAAAACATTGTGTGACATAATCGTATTATGGACTTTACCCTCAATACAATTAGGTGATGATTGTTATGCCCAGACCTTACTTCGTAGTCACGGGAGTACTGTAGACACATCAGACCCAGACAGACTGCAACAGTTCTTAAAATGTTTGCAGGTAAAATTGAGGAACATGTAAAATATTTCAAAATTCGTGCGACTAAGAAGGAAGACAGTATAATGATCATTCAAACTAACGAATAAAATACAACCGCTTCTTATTTATTCAAAGTGCGGCATTTTTGTCATATTTTTTTTTGCACGAAGAAGGTTCTGGAAGAAACACACCCGAGCTACTGACGTCATCTCATTCTATGCAATTAACTGTGAAATAATTAATGCTGTTATATTTGTATAAAAGCCAATATTGACGGGTTGCCTGGCAGCAGCCAATTTTCAGTTTAAAAGATATTGAAAAAAAATGTAAAAAATAGTCTACAAATTTCTAGCATGAGGATGCTTATTACAATGTAATTGCCCGCAAGTGCGGGTTCCGCCAGCGACACGCGACCTCCTGTAGACATGACCAAAATTGGTAAAAATCTCTTCGCCTTTGTATCTTGTATCGTGAGAACCTCAGTTGAATTTAGAGATCAGTACCACGGCTCTATTTGAGACAATGATTTCATCTCACTTTTGCTTCATGAAGTACCCATATTAGGTTTTAATTTTTGAAGTACCAAATGCAGTTATGGCATTCTCTTGTATCAAACAGAAAATGGCAATAACGGATATGAATTTCCACGTTTGCTCAGTGCTCACGATGGGAAATGTTCACTTCTTTATGTTCCCGTAAAGGAAGACCTGCCCAGGTTTTACATCAATCCTTTTCCGAGTGTCAAAAACCAAACAAAATGAACACACTTGCATGGCGCCTTTATTATGCCAAAGAATATATATCTCCATATCATGGCAAATCATCTCGAGGACTGATCCGCTTAAAGAAAAGATATATCATATATAAAAGACTGATAAGACTCCCTGGATAAAGATACCCCTGGATAAAATTAAGAATGTTCGAACTTCCAAATATTCTAAATATTCTAACGTCGATGAGATAAAGGATTCTTGAGAACTCTTGAGAATGCTTTGCTTCCAGATAGTAAGCTGAAGGTTCTTTTGTTATAGAAGCTTCTGAGGCCATCAGGACTAGTTGTAACAATCGAAGTGGGAGTCTCGTTGACAGTGGGCGAAATGCGCGAAATTTAAGCAGTTTCAAATATTTATTCCAAATCAAATGTTGTCAATCTGTGTGGGCTAATGATAAATGATAATCTCCAAGGAAAATTACATGAGACAGATGTATTCCACCTCCCCCATATACTTCTAATAATCGGTCCCCCACACTGGCAAAGAAAACTAAAATAAGCTGTATAGTTACCAGTTACCATAAGGTAAAGTTCTTAGCCTCTAACTTAGTTGAAATCAATGATGGCAGACTGATATAGAGAATGAATCAGAGAAATATTATCTACACAAAAATCACCGCAAGAACACTGAGATAAGTAGGGTCTACTGCATGGTTAATTCCCATCATTTCATGGGGAAAGACACTCTCGTCATTGGCGGTTTCACGATTAGATCTTGCTTAAAAAACCCTCTGGTTTGTGGTGTAACTTTTTAATCATGCAAGGGAACTCGAATCGACTCAATTCAATTTAATAGACAACATTTGAAGATTTATAATTAGAGACATGCTCGTAATCACACCTGACCATTTCTCTAATGTTACTAAAAAACGCCACAAAGATAACACTAGCTATATTTTCTACAATTGCCCTCCATTCATTTTAGAACTAAACATTTGCTATATTTTCTTTGATGACGCTCGACAAGCGCGTTTGTGAATATCTGCAGAAAAAAACCCTTGAGGAAGGAGAGGTATCTTGACCTGCTTATAGACGAGTTGCAGCGTGTGTTGATTGGATAAACTTCACGGAAAATACATCGATATTTTTCGATTTCGAGATAAGCTATCGTTTTGAAAGTTTTGTGACGAAGTGCTTTAGCCTTTAATGTATATACTCACAACCTCTCAGCATTTTAGTCTTTTGTTACCATATTTGAACTTGTATATGAATACTTATTGATTTTACTATGTGGGAAAGAATATTCGCTTTTTTCGATATAAGCATTTAGGAATTACCCTATTTATTATACAGACGGAGACAGCATATCGAAACTGATTTGAGTAAAGTGCTACAATCTAAAAAGCCGAGCTTTAAGGAAATAATACTATCGATTTACTATAATATTCAATGATTGCTTAATCTTCGCGCTGGATCAAACTGAGTAGCGCTTTGTTATGACGACCCAGCGGTAAGCCTCTCTGACGTCAATCTGGAATTTTCGTGGGCGACGCAATTAGCCAATGATGTCATTTTATTATTGGGCAACCAAAGTGCATATATACACGCACGCGAGATGTTACGAGCATTAGTAACGACTTGAACTCGTGTAGTGTTCGGAAATAAACGTAATAAGGAACTGACGAATAGAAAATACACACAGATTTGCAAATTGTTATGAGTAACGAAAATAAAAATGAAATTTGCAAATGCAAAGAGTTTAAAGAAAAGTTTGATGCCTCAGTAAAGGTTAACGAACGATTAGCAAAAATGATTACTGATTTGAAGCAAGAAAACGAGGAGCTTAAATCATCGTTGCGAAATAGCAAATCGAGTTGTACCGGTGAACACTCGGGTACGACCGGGGACGATAAAGGATATAAAGAGAGATTTGAGGCTTTGGTTAAAATAAATCATGGCTGGAAGAAGGATTATGAGGAACTTCATATGAGATTTGATATGCTTCAAGGGGAGAAAAGGTTACTGGAAGATGAGGAAAAAGAATTGAAGATACGAATTAATGAACTTGAAAAGCGCCAAGGACCTTTGGAGAGTGAACTAGCGAGATTAGCTGGAGCTTTGTATACGCAACAGGCTAATGGCGGTGGTCTCTCGGAAGAGCAATGTGAGATCTTGAAATCGCAAGTGATCGTTTACAAGGAAGATTTTGAGAAGGAAAGAGAAGACAGAGAACATTTGAACGAAGAAAAGGAGAAATTTAAACGCAAACTGGAAGATGCTGAGGAAATCATCAGAAAATTAACTGCAGAACTCGATGCTTGCAAAGATCGTGAAGAAGCTCGCAGAGGAGGTTGGTCCGAGAATGGATATCTCAGTGAACGAGCGGGAACCTCCCCCCGTCATCAGGTGCAATACGTCTATCCATACAATCAAGTTGATCACAGATGGAGGACAGAACAACAAAGAAGAGGTATCCTCCCCCGGAATCCTCCTCCAACCTCTTTTTTTTACGGAGGGGAAGTTGAGGTTGACGAACTAAGAGCCTAAATGGTTGACAAAATCAAAATATCTGAAGTCAACTGGCATTGACTTTAATTCAACTAAATAACGGGATTTGATATACGGCCAAATTTAAAGTAAATTATATATGTATTTATTGACATAGTCATACTCAATATATTTAATTTTATAAAATAAGCATTGATGTATATATATATATAAAAATAATATATTTACAAAAGAATATTAAATAAATAAAAGTATTTTGGGAATTGAGCTGTTTTGTATGTAAGTGTTATATGTAAGTTCAACGCACTTTTAGATTTCTTATACGAGAAATGTAGTTCTTTTTTAGGAATGACAACGCATCCCTGATGTTTTGTCATCCGCTTTCGAGTTTTTCATGTAATTCTAACGTTCCCTTTTCTTTGTGAATATTGCCGGGTTTCGATGATTCAAAGGTTGATTTGAAAATGATTTATTTCTGGCCTGTTGTTTGTGTGCAGTGCGACGTGGCCTTGAGTTGGTTTTTGCTGTGAAGACTCGTAGGATGTACAACGGTCGATAATCATTGTTCTTGATACCTTTCGGTTTACTCTCTTCCTTGACCTTGTATCTAACTTCCTTGTCAACGTGATTTTATCTAAAGGAGGAGTTTGATATTTAACGTAAGCAAATGCTAAACGCTGTCTTTCTTACAACATTAAAACAGTCGTATTCTCAACCTACAATTATTTAATTTTCTACAAGTCCTTGAAATTTCAAAACGTTTTAATGGCTCGTGCACGCCTTAACTATTTCTTCCCTATTCTGTGGTATAGTTTTTACTATTATTTTAACACTATTATTCATTTATTTAGATCGTGCGGGGTGTGTTTTCATTCACCGAGCAAGGCTATACAAGGTAACGTAGTAATATATATTTTTTAAATCATCTACTTCCGTGTTTACGTCTTTCACTGCAGGAACGTGCGTTGTAGCAGAGCAGTCGTGACAACAGTCACGTAGCCCCATGCACTCTGTCAGGCCTACCACATTACTACGCACGCGCAAGGTCAACAAAGGTTCATGTAATTGTAGAACCACGCAGGAGCATTTTACTAGGATCTTTCTGCAGTGACTACGAGTTTCATCACCTTTCAGCGGGTTGTTGTTTGCTCACGCCATTGTGCAAAACTCGCGAAGTCGTCGTAGGCAAAAGCCGAGCGAATACCAGATTCGTCAGATGGCGTAAGCAAAATGAAATCGCACCTGGTTGCATTGACCGGGCTGCCTACACTAGCTGCCTATGGTGAAAATGACGTGCTTCCTACACGTAGTCACTGCTAAACTTCCTATTATTGACTGTAAGAGAGCGTGTCTTGTGGCACGTTTATTAGGTCTCATTGCTAGAGCTTGTTATATAACATTCCTAGCCACGTTTTGAATATCTGAGAGGGTTTTTCGTTGATGAGAAATCGATAAAATTCAACAATCGTTGCCCCTACAATACATTTTGGGCAGTATTGTATACATTTCAACTCCTCCGAGAAAAGGTTAAAAATACTCTGGTCGATAGTTCTGGGTATTGTTATTGTATCAATCATCTGTTGTTGTTTTCATTTCAATCGATTCACCCTGAAAGACCGTAGTCTGGTCTTCCGAAACGGAACTGTGGTTTCTCTACTATAATATTCGTATATCGCCCTGTTCCGTCTCATGCGGTGATGTCTTTTCTAAGAGATTGTAGTCGCATTGACGATTATCGATCACTTCAGGCGGGGGTGACGCGGATGGACTTAAGGGGGAGGTCTGCCCTTTCCGTGTCCGGCATTCCTGATTTAGACCTTCCGGGTATTACCAACAAGATACTCTGAAACAACCAGCATGTCTGCATGGGATTATAGGTGTGTCGTGCTATGACGTAATGAATACAATCAACAGCTGGAGAGCTCTTGGAGCGTGGATCCCTGGGTACTAGGTTAAATCTCTGCGTCATTATGACTTGTCAGCAGTTTGATAGGTGAACTGGTGAAGTACGTCATGATGACATTGCGAAATGTGATGTCATAATGACGCAGCCAATGTGATGCCTTACTGTACGTTTTTCAAATGTGTTACTTCATACTGACATAGAAAATTCTCAGATTTGCGGTGATCAGCTAAATAATTAATAGCTTTATTTGCTGTCGACCACATAGCCTCGTTTCTATATGCTTGCATGCCTTTTTTGGCTGGCCACACCCATCGTATCTGCCCATATATATTCTCTACACGAGTTTATTTCTTATCACATTTTCTTTGCCAATGACTTCTAGCATCATCGTCTGCTATAATAAGCGCTAATATTGTCTTGCGAAACTCAACGAAGTTACTAGTGAAAGATTTTTCGGATCAAAACTCGAATATATCGGATATTGACCAAGGCGAAGCTTGAGTGGATATTGAGCGGCAGTTTCATACCTACGAAGTGAAAATATAATAGTTTGTTGTGAGGCGGGCTCTAGTGCAAGCTGTTCCGCAGCAAATAGCACCATATTTTCTGTTTACAATTGATAATTGCCTTCCTGCATCGTTCGTTCATATTTGGTTGTAATTTCCGCCCGCTCCAGTTATTATTGAATGGAGAAAGCCAACCGGTAGCCAGAAGCAATTTTAATAAAACTAATGGCTGAAAAGTTTAATTATAACCGAATCAAAAGAAACATGCAATGCCGACGATTTGGAGTGCGCTTTCATTATGCTTGTAATGAGATAGAAACTCTGCAACAAATTTAAATTAAAACTGAACTTGTTGCTTGATTAAACAATGTTCCAGTCCTCCAGAACTCTTTATGTTCTTCCGGAAAGCTGATAATAATGTACTTCAAAAGAGTATTTTTATCTTTGCCTTTCCTACATTTTACCCAATGTCCGGTATTAGACATACAAGAGTGTGTGTGAGTGAATTGTGTGTGGCCCGCTAAACTTTCTTCGAATATTTTCCGATGTGGACTGCGGTTTTTACTTTGCCAGTGAGACAATACTGTGTTTTATTGACAAGTGATAACCGCCACTGGGGGCTCTGCCACGAAATCCAATTTAACATCACTGACTTTTTAAATCAGTTAAGATGTTGACTGTATATATACACAGACTGAAATAAAAGTTTTAGTATAATGTTCTGCTAGCTAAAGAGTAGTTAAGATCATTTAGTTGAGCGTACTGAATGAAACACGAATTATATCGAAGCACTGGCGCATATCGTCGGTTTAATTAAACTAGTTTCCATGTTGACCGAATTCTCACGGAAGTGTCCTGTACGTTTTCCAGAATGTTCCATTTGATCTTCGGCTCAAACAACACAATACCGCAGATGGTCGCGTATTTTGACTTTGCCCAAAGCAACAAAAAGTACGCTCGTAATATTGTTTTAAACGTCGGCTGTTTTTTTGCCTTTTCACACCAAACGAATTTTGGGATTTGTGCGTTGACGCGATCGTGGAGTGTCGCTGTACTGTGACGAAGGAGAAGTTAATACTGACAATTGTTTACGTATGTGAAGAATAATTATAACGAAGATTTACCGCAATACTGCCTTAAAAGAGATCGAAATTTGACAGATTTTGTATTGGTTTTGCTCGTTTATACAAACTGTATCGGTGACAATTCGGTGCTACGGTCAGGCATCATTTAAAGATACGGTCTTATACCGATGTTCGTGCAAGGCCTCTGATGGTGTGAATAGCCGACCGGGTTTCCGTAGTCCATTAAGTGTATTCCGGAGGGTTTTTTCATATTCATATTCTGGTCGCTTCTACACCGCGCGGAGTCTTGCTAAAGGGAAGGATTTTTCTAGATTATCGAGTCTCACGCGACTGCAGAAAGAGACAGAATCTCGCACGGAACACAACTGCTGCAGATTTGACACGGAGAGATCATTCTACAATTTAAAGGGATTCTTGACGTTGTTCCTTTTTTTGTTGAAAGAGGGAGGACAGCGCAATCAGCACGCATCAAGGACTGGTTCACAGGGCTATCACTGAGGCAGTGCTTCAGTCGACAGCATATTTCTGATCTGCATACTCTATCAACGCAATCTTCATCCCAGCGTAACCGCAGATTTTCGAATCTCCGGTGATTATAATTTTTCGCTTGCTCTACGAGGATTTAGGGAGAGCAGAGACTTACCACGCGTCACTTCGTCGCGTGCATATACGTTCCCCCTGTAGAACTTGCCTGGAATTGCTCTCAAACCCTGAACTTATTCTCGTGTTTTGTACTGAGACCCGAAGCAGTGCCAAATCTGAAGCGTGCAGTCAAGAAAGCAATTGTCTATGAAAAAGACCTGAACGTTTAACTCAATGGTATTTTAAACACCCTAGTTTATTCGTCAATTGTGCTGCAAAGAAAAACACTTCCTAATTTGCCTTATTCGACAAATCTCTGCAGACAAGCGGGCGTGTGTCACATAGGGTTGTGTTACTCCAGGCGTCCTTCTACCAGCCAACACTCTGGTTGTTGTTACGGTTTCTGTTGGAACATCATTGCCATTTGCCAATGAAGGACACGAGAGCGCACGTTTTGAATACCAGTACCACTGCAAGATGGAATCCCAGTCACGAAGGTACCAACGTGGCCCTCAATGTCGTGACAAACCCGTGGTCCACGAAATATTCCTGAGCCTTGAGGAACTCTCTCGTGGATGTACAAAAAAAATGAAAATCGCAGCGAAAGTTTTTAACGATGATTTTAGCATCGCCCGCACCGTTGAAAAGATCGTGAAAATGGACGTACCTGCCGGCTCTAAAGATGGGACGAAGATCGTAGTGCCTTCCGCCGGGGACATAAAACCGGGTATCATTCCCGGCGATGTTATTTTCGTGATACGCGAGCGTCCTCACCCCCGTTTCACTCGCGACGATGAAAATAATTTGATATACAGGGTTGAGATTACTCTGAGAGAATCGTTGACAGGGTGCACGATTAATATTCCCCTGCTGAATGGAGAATCGCTGTCTCTTAGTACCCAGGACGTTGTATGTCACGGCACTAGGAAACAAATCACCGGGAAGGGAATGCCGAGAGGGGGCGGAACCCGGGGTGATCTTCTTGTAGAGTTTAGCGTCAACTTCCCAATGGAATTAGACGAGCGGCAGAAAGAACACCTCAGTAAGATTCTACCAGATTGATAATCATCGCCGACTGACGTTCTTCATGATGGTAAATTTTA